GAATTGCTAGAATCTGGGAGGCGGAGGTTGCAGTGAGCTTGAGATCACACCACTGTACTCTAGCCTGGGTGACACATCAAGACTGTCTCAAAAAAATAAAATAAAAATACTTGTCACAGAAACATTTGAAAAAGTATTTAAAAGTTTAAAAATAACCACCATAATCTTATACCCAGAGATAATGATTACTTTTCTTTTGTCTTCCTTTTTCTAAACACAGCCACACTTCACGCAGACATTTCAGTCATTGGTGCATACAGATGGTTGCAAGAGATGTCGACTCAGTGCTCACATTCCTAATGCACTGGCTTGGAGTCTCCCCCTGGGAATTTCTGGGAAGCCCTGGGAGTGTCTGCTGGTTGTCCACAGAACATCTGCTGCCCTCCATTAGGCATTGTGGTTCCTGGGGGGCACTGTACCTTCTCTAAGGAAGCTTTGCCTTTCTAGCGTTATGAACTCTTGATTGACCTGTCTCTATTGTCTCTAGACCTAGTTCTTATACTCCCAAATGGCTTCTTAGGGTCCTTCTCCTGTGCAAATCACTTGAGCAAGTATATGCCCCTAAAGCGAGTGTTTAGACTACCAAGTCTCAACAGGGAGTGGTGGGGGATGCCTGTTGTCCCAGCTCTTTGGGTGGCTAAGGCAGGAGGATCACTTAAGCCCATGAGTTTGAGACCAGCCTGGACAACATAGCAAGATCCTGTCTCAATAAAAATAAAAATTAAAAATTAAAAAATTAAATAAATAAATAAATTCAACCATAACTAAAACAAAGAATACCAAGTCCTTAATCTAAACTTATTATCGATGGGATAACCCTATTCCTCTCTTGCTCTTTCTCTCTCTCCCACATACATCCTTTCCTTTTTTCCCTCACAAGATTGAGATTAAACTATGTACTGTTTTGCAGCCTACTTTTTTCATTTTAAATTAGATCATGAACATTTTTATATCATGATATCATCTTTAAAACTACAATTCTTAATGACTGTATACTATTCCAATGCTTCAATGTAATATTAACCAATACATAATAGAACAGAATAAATAGAATAAAATAGAATAGAATATTAGCCAATCCTGTGGTTTTGGACACTAGATTATTTCTCATATTTAGCCATTACAAATCCTGGCACACAAATTGTTCCAAATGTGTCCAGTGAGTTTCTTATGATAAATTTCTAAAAACAAAATGACTAGGTCAGGAGCTATGAACACTATAAAGGATTTTGATCCCTATTATTAAATATTCTTCCAAAAGACTGCTCTAGCTTATAGCCTGACCAGCAGTATACAAGGTCTTTTCCCCATCTTTAGAGTGTGTTTATGTTTTAAAATGGTGTCTCTTCCCTAGGTTGGGAAGATAGGGCACTGGTGGATAGAGAATGAACTCCAAACCCTCAGTGAAGGTTGTGAGTTCTCATGCCATCTAACTGTCACTGCTCCTTCTCCCCATACCATGTGCCCATGCCCCAGCCACTAGAATACTTGATAATCCTTGGACATACTATACACTTCCATGTTTCTATGACTTCAAATGTGATACTTTTATATCTATAATTTCTTATCACCTCTCCTCTGCCCAGTCAAACCCTAACTCACCTTTCAAATCCCAGTTTATATATTACTGCTAATCCTTCTATTTACCAGGAGCAGATATGTTCAGTAAATATTAGCAGTTGTCACTGTAACTATAAGTTCTTTCTGCAGTACTACTCCTCATAACCCTACAAGAGAGGCATCATGGTTTCTGTTTTATACACAAGACACTGTGACTTTGAAAGGTTAAATGACTTGCCCATGATCACTCAGATTTGAATCCAGTCCAACCTAACCCCAAAGCTTGGGTTCCTATCCACTATGGAGATTACCTTAATCTTACAGCTGCCCTCACCTCTCCATGTTATACTATAGCATACTATAGTATACCACCTCTCCATACCATACCATGCTATACCATTTTCTCACTTAGGCTATCACATACTTATACTTGATAATTTCCCAAATGGTTCATGAACCCCTTATAGGAAATGGATCACGTATCTTCTCTATTCCCAACTCCTATCAGAGACATGGCACATAGTAGGTGCTCAATAAATCTGTGTGGACTTTAGGCATTTGGTAAACCAAGTGGATTACCTGAGTGTTGAAGCAGGAGAGCATTAATTTCTCTTGGGCTATAATAACGATCTCCCCTAGATGAATGAACTACAGTTAGAGGAAGTCCTCAGACTAGAATCTGGAACTGGCTGGGAAGGCCCAAGAGGGTAGCACTGGAGGAAGGGGGCTTCAGTCATTTGACCTCTAGAAAGCTAATTCTTGGGGACACACAGGGCCTCTGGGAAAGACAAGTCTTATCATGCTCCTAGATTGAGAGCAATAGGTGATAAATCTAAAACTATGTTTAAGGGAAGCATTATAAACACTCAAGCCTTCAGTCAAATTGTTCTGGCCCCACCACTTACTTATTGTGGAATTTTGGACACATTACTTAACTCTAAGCCTATTTCCTCAATGCCCAAAATGCTGATAATAATAAAATCTAACTCATCGGCCATTGTGAGACTGGAAGAAGCAAAGGCAGGTAAAATGTTGAATACTGAGCCTGGTACGTAGTAAATGTGCAATAAATGATGGCTATTCTTTAGTAAAATTTGACTTAGTATCTGGCTGGTAGAAACTTAGGAGAACCAGGTTAGTGGGAGGCTGGCACTTCTAAGGTAGAAACCAGGGAAATTTCTGGGAAGGATGAAGGAAAGAACCTAGGCCAGGGAAGTAAGACCTGACACTGGCCAAGAAAAAATCCAGACTGTGAGAAAGAACTCAGTTTGATTTGTTCCTTAAAGGTTCTGTTTCAAAAATAAGTAAGTCTATGCTGTAAGCATTGGCTAAAGACACAAAAAGGGAAGGGAAAAATATGATCATCTATGGTGTTGCCACAGGTTGCTGCACAGAAGAAATTAGCTCTGCTACCGGTGTGGGAACCTTAGCAATGGACGGACTGAAAGAGGATGAACCCCTCTTCCTTCCTTCTCATGTGGTGGCCATGGTGGAGCGGGCCTTGAAGAACCCAAGTCCTGTCCATGCTGGAGAAGCAGGAAGCCTTGCAGCGGGCAGGGTTGAGGGGTGCTGGCTCTGCCCCATTCTGCATTTTGGTGCTGCTCAGGGTGAGCTGCTTTGGTGGGCACCAGATCCATGAAAGTACAGCCTAAGGCTGGTCACTGTCACTGCGGCCTGAGGAAGGCTTGTGGACCAGAACCAGAACCAGATTCTGTTTTGGGGCTAGAAACACGAACATAGGCAGGAAAGGGCATGATACAAATTATTCTTGCTACACCATTCATTGATTGATCTCCTGATAAGTAAATTCTGAGGAATTTGAGGCAAGAGGGCTTAAGTCAACGAATGCATGTAATAAATTACCTGCAGTCATTCTCTAGCTAACTCAAGGACCTCATGAAAAACGCTTCCTTCTTCCTGAAAGGTAATAAATGGGGTGGGATGGGGTGGAATGGGGACAGGTACAGATCAGAAGTGTTCACAGTTGGTGCAGAATGGCTTGCAGACAGAGGAGGGGCATTTGGTAAACAGGTGGAGACACATTTCACCTACTTACAAAAGCCAAAGTGCTGGCCGGGCGCAGTGGCTCACGCCTGTAATCCCAGCACTGTGGGAGGCCGAAGTGGGTGGACACGAGGTCAGGAGTTCAAGACTAGCCTGCCCAACATGGTGAAACCCCGTCTCTGCTAAAAATACAAAAATTAGCTGGGCGTGGTGGTACGTGCCTGTAATCCCAGCTACTCAGGAGGCTGAGGCAGAAGAATTGCTTGAACCCGGGAGGCGGAGGTTGCAGTGAGCAGAGATAGTACCATTGCCCTCCAGCCTGGGTGACAGAGTGAGACTCTGTCTCAGAAAAAAAAAAAAAGAAAGAAAGAAAAGCCCAAGTGCCCTATGTAGGGTGAGTGGACCTTGGGGAAGAAGAAGCAGGCACAAAGGATTGGTACAAAGGATAGGCAAGCAGGTTCTAGCACAGGCTAGTGGCCATGCCAAACCCAATCCATGGGGACTATGGTATGACAGCCTCATTTTGGAGTCAGTTGCCCAAGAAAAGGCTTACCATCCCCATGGTAGAGACCTCCAGGAACCCTCTAACAAAATGACTTTGGAGAACCAGCTTGGACCAGTGCTGCTTTTTCTGTGGACTCCTGGGCTTCTCCATCTGTTCCCTAATGTGATGGGCAAGAAAACTAATTTGAAGGATGCCTGTGCTCATTTTGGGGGAGAGAAAGAAAGAGATGTCCTGAGAAGACTGTCTCCATTGATAGCCAATTTTAGAGGTGACAAAAGGAACTCCAATGAGGTAGGTAGATGAATTCCTTGAAGAAAAGAGGAAGGCAGCTGGGACCCCAGAGAGGGAAGAAGGAAGGAGCCATGGGTCTGAGCCAGCAGAGGAACCACGTGGGGCTCTGTATGGGGTTGCTAATTGCCCACTGACACATTATCTATGAAATATAATCAAAATAATTTCATTAATATGGATGCTGGCACCATCACAAAGTAATTAAATGAGGAAGTTAAAACTGCCAAGTACCACCATGTACGAGAAATACACAGAGATGCCTCGTAAAGGTCAGGTTTCAATCAAGCTCAGTTATGATTACAAAGAGCCAAGATGAGTGGTCAAAGAAACATTTGTGCTTCCTTGATAAGATGATGCTACTGCGGAGGTCTGTACAAGTCTATTAATGTCAATTTTTATCCTTTTTAGAGCCATACTTACATCTCAAGAGTTCAATCACTGAACAATGGGCCACACATGAGGATAAGGACTGTAGGCTCAGTGTAAGTACTGCCTCTGATCTGAACAATCAAGCTTCATTCATTTCTTATTTGGCTCACTATGTTAACTTTTTATTATGCAAAACTTCCAGTTCAATTACACAATGAGAAAAAAATATATTTGGAACAATTCACAAGCAATGTTTACCATACCTGCTAAAAGGAAAAACTCACCAGAAAGAATTTACTGGAGAGGATTTTCGTGCTCTTCTCAGCTCATTGACAAGCGGATTTGTCCCTCCAGGAATTTGCAGTGACCCCCCTACTTGAATGCTTTGGAAAATGTAGGAGCAGCAAGGGTTCCTTGGCTACCTAGGAAGCAAAACTCTCATATAAGTGATGGAGCACATCTAGAAAGGCCCTGGCAGGGGGCCCTAAGCATTCTCAAACTTCCATGCATAATGTTCACTCGGGGAGTTTGTTAAACAGTGCAGATTCTCAGGTCTCACCCTAGAAATTCAATTTAGTAAATTTGAGTTGGGCCCAGAGAATCCATAGGTTTAAGCATGCTGGGGATCCTGTCTTGAGGCTCCTTGGGCTTGCCCTGGTTGTGGCTGGCTGACTATTTAGAAAGTACAACTCTGTCTTCATAATGCTGTCAGGGGGTCATCTGACTTTCAAAGGCTCAGCAGCTAGGGTTCCTCTCTGTGAGCACGGGCTCTGGGCCCAGGCAGTGAGCCTCCGTGTTAGTCAGGACTTGCGCACCAGAGGGAATAGATTTTAGAGGAAGATATTATTAGCTTTCTCTGCCTGCCCATCTCTGTTAGCCACGTGATCCTCAGGACTGGCTCCACAATGGAATCACTTGGATAGAGTTTTTAAAATGCTCGTGCCTGGGCCCTACCCCAGAACAGTCAAATCAGAATCTTAGGGGTGAAACCAGGGCTCTCCTGGCAGTAACACATTCTAAAGATGTTCAGGTGATGCTAAAGTGCAGTCAGGATTGACAGCCCCTGGTTTAGTCTCTTATCTCCTAGGTCCTTTCTTTCCTGTCCCTCATGGGTGGGGACACCTCCAGAAGCTCCATGGTCAGGCTGCACCATCTGGCTGCCTAGAGGCCCCTACTTTGCTGCCTCATCGAGGCCTGCTCTTTCTGGGAGCACTTCCTGGTCCCTCCTCTCCTGTCCTTCAGATACAACCCTCTTCCCTCAGTGCCGTAAGTGCTAGGGGAGTGCACTGATGTGCAGGAGTCTTTGAGGGAAGATGTGTATTTCTATACCCTCCTTTCACTGTGTGTAAATGACTAATGGTCTTAGGTGAAGTTCCCTGAGAAACAAACTCTGAGAAGGAGGTGTATGTGCAGCAGGCTTTTTGGGGAGTGCCAGTGGATCAGCACCCAGGAGGGAAGGAAGACAGAAGTGCTGGAGAGAGGGAGGAACTGGGTAGAACTCACAATACAGGCTGTTGCAACAGGGGCCTTGGCTGATCCCATGGGAAGCTCTGGATGCCCCCTTGAAATCGTCGTGCTTTCAGGCTAGGGGGCAGATCATTTATATCCTCAACATGGATGGGCAATTGTATGACCGCTGCCTCTGGGGAGGAAGCTGACCTTGGATGAGGCTGTTCTCTAGAGTTCAGAGGAATGAAGGGCTCTGGCAGGGCAGGGACTCAGCTGAGAGCATCAGTTGTCGGCATGTGGAGCCTAAGGAGCATCGGCTCCCTCACTCCTGCATGCAGCTCTTCCTGTCACTCCCTATCATCCACACCAACCAACCCTGACTTCTTTATTTTTTGAGACAAGCTTGCTAAAATGAACGAATGTCAACTGAGTTACCTTGAGAAAGGGAGGTTTCTCAGGACCTTGAGAGGCAGCATGGGTGTGATCTAAAAACTTTCAGTATTGGATTAGACTCTCAGCCTGGCCTGTTACTGAATTTATTATCTTCGGCAAATTGCTAAAATCTTGAAGCTTCAGTTAATTTGTCTTTGAAATGGGGCTGATGAATTGGTACAAAGCAGAGTGACTGAGGATTAAATGCAATAGCGTGGGCAGTGTCTGGGACATGGGAATGTGTGTGAATGCAGGCTCCCCCTGGGCTGGGCCCTGTCCACCTGGGCTCTCTGTCCCCATCAGACCCCACAGGACACTCAGGACAAGTCTCAGCCACTTCTCTCCAATTCATGCACCTCTCCTGGTAGCCGAGGTGCTGAGAGAATGTTGGAAATGTCCCCAGTGGGATATTGGTCCTGAACCAGATTCTCAGATTTCCACTTCTCTCACTGCAGTGCTAAGAAGTGCCTGGGCCAATTTTCCTTTAAGCAGTGGCCAGGCAGGGATTTTTGCAACTCGAGGCAAGTGTTGTAAGGGTAAAGAGGACCCATCTTGGGCCTGAAGAAATTCAAGTCAATGTGGAGAACAACTCGTAGTGGGGTTCTGGCTTCATCAGTAGCGTTGCCAGTCTCCCAAATCATTTTTTTTTTTTGAGATGGAGTCTCACTCCGTTGCCCAGGCTGAAGTGCATTGGCACAATCTTGGCTCACTGCAACCTCTGCCTCCCAGGTTCAAGTGATCCTCCTGCCTCAGTCCTCCAATAGCTGGGATTACAGGCACCTGCCACCATGCCCAGCTAATTTTTGTAATTTTAGTATAGACGGGGTTTCGCCATGTGGGTCAGGCTTGTCTCGAACTCCTGACCTCAGGTGATTCACCCACCTCGGCCTCCCAAAGTGCTGGGATTACAGGTGTGAGTCACCGTGCCCAGCCCCAAATAGTCTTTATTAGAAGGTTGATTAGCAACCAGCCTTGGCAAAATGCTGTGAGAATATCAAATGCAAACAAAAGTGGGACTCAAAATAATATACTCAATATGATCTCAGCTGCTGTGTTACATAATGATTTAGAAAAATTCTGGAAGCAAAAATGCCAAGATGTCACAATAATTGCCTCTGTTTAGTAAGACTGGCTGATTTTTTTTTTCATGCCTTCTTTACACATTTCTATTGTTCTGAATCTTCCTACAATGAGCAGGGGTTGGGGAAAGAAAAGGGAAAAGAAAATGGAAAATGCACTCCCAGCAGTGGGAGAGGGAATGGCAGTGTTTCCCATGGGTCTCTCCCACAGATGATGATGCCTGCGGAGAGGCGCAAGGCTGGGTGTCCTTCTCACTTACCCAGCCTGAAAATGTCTGTATGTGAAGATGCGTAAGCAAAACAGACACTTGCGCTAATCACTGTTCAGAGCTTGGCTGCTGAGTGTTTTCCGGGAGCTGCATTGTCAGTTGAGGGCTGCCCGCTGCGTGGGGTGGATTTCCCAGCCCGCACAGGATAATTTTATCACGGAAGACAACATTTGTAGTTCTGCATGAGTGGCTCTCCTGGCGAGATAAAGAGGAGAGAGTGAGCTGAGGCTGAGGCTGAGAAGGCTGGCATATGTGATGTCTTTGGGGACCAGAAGCTGTAAATAGCACAGAGGGACACTCAGAGGCCTGTGGTGGCAGAGGAGGGGCTTGATGGGTCCTGGTAAGTCCTGTCTGTCTTCAAAGCATACTCCCCCTCTGATGGTTCCGTGCCCCTTCAGTGCCTGTGAGCCTTGCCTTGGGACCTTTGGAGCACATGCCATGCCACTGGTTGCCATGCTTTTTAGATGTTTAACCCATGATTGAGAGAAACCTTAGTAGAGAGCCAAGCCTATGGGGAATGGGCATCAAATGGATATGTTTTCATGAAGGGAAAAAGAAATGTTAAGACTAGGAGATTTTAGAGCTGGAAGACAGTCTTAAAATCCCCTTGTCCTAGCTCTTTGTTTTATAGGGAGGAGCTGAGTTCTAGACAGGTTCATACTAAGCCTTGGTTTGACCCATTTGATTCCAGACCAAGATTCCACTTGTTATGGGTTGAATTGCATTCCTTTTCCACCCCAAGGATTATATTGGAGTCCTAACGCCCAGTACCCTGGAAAGAGGGTCCTTACAGAGGTAATCAAAAATATAAGATGACCCAGATAGGTCCTAAGTCAATATGATTGGTGTCTTAGTGGATATCTAATTTAGACACAGACAGGCATGCCCACAGGGAGAATGTCATGTGAAGACAGAAGTTAAGGCTGCCACAGGCATCCTACTGGAATGGAGGAGAGGGGCCTGAAACTGATCCTTCCCTAGCACCTTTGCAGGGAGAGTGACCCTGTCAACATCTTGGTCTCAGACTTCCAGCCTCTAGAATTATGGGATAATTACTGTTGTTTAAGCCACTCCATGTATGATACTTTGTTATGGCGGCCCTATGAAATTAGTACAGAAAACCCCACCAGAGGAAGAATTTACAACCTTGGCCATATAGGAGAACGCACATCTATGAATTCTAATCATCTGCGCCAAACCTGTGCCCCATGATTATTAATAACTGGGAATGGAAAACTCATAGCCAAACTAGATCAAAGTTGAAGCACATTTGGAAATTCAGCTGACACCCAAGGACCTGAGAAACCAAACATTGTGATCTGGTATAAGTTGGGCAGAGCAGGTCTCTTGGGAGGCTGTCCTGCTTCCTAGAAATTGGCTGCCTCTGGACCAGGATAGAAGCACTTGGGAAAAGGTAGAGACCTAAAAATAGGATTGCATCCTTTTTCTGTTCCTTCTTGAATCTAATGACAGGTGTCATTCAGAGTCCTAACAACGATTCCAGTGCCATTGACCAAGAAATCAAGCTGAACCAGTTTGACTCAATAACTGGGCTATATAGCATGAGAGACAGGAGAGGAGCTTATGGAAGGCAGCTGACAGATCAAATGCAAGAAATAGAGTTACTTTCTTTTTTTCAGTTGAAGTTTTTCTTAAGTCCCTTCGGTCCAGCACTTGAATTCTTTTTATTAGTAAGAAGTGAGGGACACCTTGCTGTCAGAGATGCTATCGGGCCAGAACCAGTCTTGGAGACAAGGGGTTCAGACTGCGTTTGCTTTCACTCCTTTCCATCTTAAGCTTGCACATTGCGTCTGTAGTTCACAAAGCAGTGAGGGGCCCTTGGATTAGAACTGCCTTTTTCCCAGATCCCTTTGTCTCCAGGAAAGGGGTCTGAAACTCCAGTCTGCTGACATATTGCCAAACACAGTGATTTGGCTGGCAAAATGCCATATCACAACTGTGGAAAAAAATTAGCTCTGATGATTGAAAAGCAACATGGAGCTTGAGAGTTTATCTCCAGGAAGGGGCATGTGTGGATACGGTGGTGCAAAGCTCTCAGAGCTGACTTCTGAGCCCAGCTGAAGGGCCCTGGCATGTAAAATGGGAGATGGAATAATCATATTTAGATATGTTCCTTCTTCCTTTTTAGATCAGTGGAATTGTTCTTCAAATCTTAATTGGAAGCTCAAATAAATACAAAATAATAAATGTTTAAATAGGTTGCTTTGTTTAAAAAATGGGCAAAGGATTCGAATAGACTTTTTTTTTTTTTCCAAAAAAGGCATACAAATGGTCTTTCCAACAAAGGTACACAAATGATCTACAAGCACATGAAAACGTACCTAACATCTGTTACATCAAGTTTAGCTTAAAACTGCCTCCTTACGTATTTTACGTTTGGCCTACAGGCTTTTCTGTATATCCTGAACTACAACAAGTAGAGGTGTAAACAGACCTTAGCCTACACTTGCGCCAAACACCGAATTTTGTCCAATCAAATGTAGCCAACTGTTCGAACTGTGTTCAAATAACGCAAATGCTGAGCTGTAACCAATCCAGCCATTTCTGTACCTCACTTCTGTTTTCTGTAAGTCACTTTCCTTTTTCTGTGCATAAATCTTCTTCCACCACGTGGCTGCGCTGGAGTCTCTGAGCCTACCCTGGCTCAAAACGCTGCCCAATTCATGAATCATTCATTGCGCAATTAAACTCCTTTAAATTTAATTCGGCTGAAGTTTTTCTTTTATTAGATGGTGTCAGAAGTGGGATCGGAAGTAGACCTTCTCATGACCCCTCAGGAGCACTGAGTGACCAAGGCGAGGCACCCACAGGACCCGTTTGTGTCCTTTGAACTCTCTGGGTAGCTGGGGATCAGGATCACAGTGAAATTATCTCAGGTTTTGGAGCTCCACACATTTGTGTTTTGAGCTCTCTGAGTTTGACCAAATTTCTGATCCAAACTGGGTTTGGAAGTTGCCACAGAAACTGGACTGGGTCCAGGATTGAATTTGACTGGCTTGGACCCAGTTAGAGGCCTCTTACATCTGATTGGGTCAGAAAGAAACTGGTAGTAAATGGCAATATTGCAGGGGGTGTAAAATTTGGCTTTTGACAATTCACAGGGATTTTTTGTGTTCTATCCCTTTGTTTCATTTTTCTTGCACACTTACACAGAAGAAAGCAAAGACAAACAAACAAACAAAAAAACATTGGTTAAGTTAATCAAGGGGACCTGAGAGCAAAGCCAATATCTTTGGCAAAAATGGGATCCTTAATTTCTGAAGAACTGAGTTCCTTCTGGTTTACATGTGCATAAGCGTTAGACCCCAGAAGCAATGAAGTCTTAGAGAAATGGCAAAATCTTACTAAAGATAACTTAGAATGGAAAGTTCCAAATGAACAAAACTGCACTCAAGTGCATTTAAAAATGAGGACTCCCAAATTAGTCTCATCTAGGGATGCCTATTGATATGCAGAAGCTTCTAGAAATATTTTAATATTTTTATTTAAAAACTCTATGAAAGGCAAATAAAAATCTTAAGCAACAATTTAAAAGGGATAACATGGGGAGAAATGTTGGCTATAGTATACACCTAAAGTAAAAGAAAAAAAAAAGAAAAAAAAAATTAAGTCTCCTAACCTTTCAGCTTAGTTACTATCTCAATGCAAAGGAAATAGACTGTAGCACCAATTGACTAGCTTTGGGTAAGTAATGGGGTACATTTTACCTGGGTAAAGAATGAGATTGGGTTAGAGATCCTCCCCTCAGAAAAGTCCCTCTTACTTAAAAATGGATTTGGCACTATGGGATGTTTACCGCTGTTCTCTTTGGATTAATCTGCTTCGTACTCTTTGCTGACAGCTGTGGGTGACAGGATTAGGCATGTATAGGACCATGGAACATGGGGAGCTTTTATCCTCAAAGAGGAAAACTTGAGAACTGATGGGATTGCTGGAAAAGATTCCTTTGTGACTGACAAGTGGCTGCCTGAACTTTTGATTCAGTGTCGCTGCAACGGGTGGGTCTTTCATTGGCCTCCCTGAGCTCCTTGGCTTCCTCACCCCAGGCAATGCTTTTCTTTCTTTTCCTTTTCCATTCCTACCTTTTCTGTTACTGAGGGCAACCATCTTGCCCAGATACCACATGTTGAAACTCCTGGTTGGAGGCTGGATTAAAGATGACAGGGCCAAACCAGGGGCAAGTTTGAGCTTCACTAGTTCGATATTGGGAGTTAAGCAGAGTGGCTAATGTCTATGTTTTCTCACACATATTTTGCTCTGGCCAAAATGGCAAATGTTAATTTGGTTACCCCATGCAGCCCTTTTGAGAGCATCTTACGAAATTGATAGGCTTTTGCCTGTGGTTCCAAGAAACAAATAAAAAACCATTTTCTTTTGTGTTGTGGCTTGGCCTCCAGGGCTATGGTACGGCGAGCTGAGTCACTAGGGCTGCTCAGGGAGGGGAACCCAGGAGCCTGGCATGCCAGTAAAAGGGTAAGAATTTCTTACCAGTCAGATTTTCGGCCCCTCTCTCTGTGCAAACTGGTTGAATGAAAGGTACAGATCACTGTTTATCTCCTCTATAAAGTTTTGATAAATGTGAAAAAGGACCCTGAGGCTAGTCTTAAGTTGTAGCAAATCTGATGTGCTTTGTGTGTTATTCTGTATGGTTCTGTCATAAAGAGGAGTACCTCTTTAGGATAGAACATGGGCTTAGGACCCCATGAGCTCGCTATTCAAGATGGCCCAGAAAGATGGTCAGTAATAAATGTTGCTGCAGGTCCCTGAAACAATGAACTGGATGAGTTTCCATTTTGTTTTACGTCCTTAAGAGTCTGACCTTGTAACCACACGGCTGTACTTTCTCTTGGTCTCTGCCATCTAGGAAACAGGAATTTTGGGGTTCATGTTATAGTTGGCTCTAAAAATTATCTTCAGCTAAAAGTAGTGCAAGCTCAAAACTGACTTCTCTAGACTCCTGGAAAGAGCAACAGAAGCTGCCCAATGCTGTAGCTCAGCAGCTAAGGCTTTGCCATTTTACAATGGTGGCCCTGGGTTCACCTGGCTTAGGGAATTAGTGCTTTCTGGTTGATATGTGTGTGACTTTTACCATTTGTTGATTCTTTTCCCCTCCATGAATAACTTCTAGCTTCTCTTAAATTTTCCTTTCTCTGAGCTACTTTTGAACATTCTAA